GATGTCATTTATGCGGTATCCAATGGGCAAGTCAAGCCCAGTAAACATATGAGTCTTGGGATCACCTTAAAAAGCCTTACAAATAGCAGAAAAATTATAAGTATCGTTAATAAGTATGGACATTGTTGTAGCTATAATGTTTTGGAAGGACTCGAAACTGAATTAACTTATGCTGCAACTGAAACTGCACAGGTGTGCCCACCAGGGGTTTCACTAGTTCCTCATCTGAGTACTGGAGTAGCTTATGACAACTTCGATCGGTTCGTTGAGACTCCTAATGGCAAAGATACTCTCCACGATACTGTTGGGATAATTTTCCAATTTGATGAATCTACTCTCAAAGAATCAGAAGCACCTACCCCATTCCGATCAGAATCTGAAGATGAAACGGAAAATTCCGATCCGAATATTCAAAGACCCCATTTGACATCACCCATACGCCCAGATAATAGAAGTGATGATATATCTCAACAGAATACCTCGATATCAACATCATCGATGGAGAAAAGTAAAAAAAGAAGAACATTTGACGCTATCATTCCAGATGTAGAACCGTACCTTAGGAAACCGCGAATGGTCCACACTCGATTGCCAGTTGATAGTCAGGAGAGAAATATGAATCCAAAGAGACTCACATTATCATACAAATTGGATTTGTTATGGATGATCTCGTATGCTCTCAAAATTCCAGATTTACCAATGTGGGTAGGATTCAACAGCCAAATGTATGAAGATCATAGTCCAACTCAGAAAATGTCTTATCTCACACCCATCAATCTTTCTCCAACAAATACAGCTGTTGTCCAACTAACATTGGCTGACAGCCAAAAAATTGCAGAAGAGTGTTCAACTTGCCACCCTGTCAAGTTGAGTTGTATCAACAATACCTGCGATCTAGATACATAACCAGTGTTTGGAGAAACGCACATTGTAAACTTCCGTCAACTTTGAAACCAGAAGAAAATGGATGGTCAGAGAAAGAAGGAAAGTACGAGTTTGCGTGGTTTTCTGGTGATCAACTACCAGAATTTGTCGAAGACGTCGTAATACAACCAGATAAATCCTGTGAAGATGAGAACGTTTCAGGTAAGAATTGAAAAACTCAAATGTTGGCGTAGAGATGAGTGAATCGAGGCATGACCCAATTTTGACTGATTTTTGGAAATCTTATTTTCAGATGACGAACTGGACGACTCTGGAAGCGAGGCTAACGATGATTGGGACAGTGAAAGCGAAGATTTCTAGTAAAAGAGAGACATTTAAACATTGATGAAAGACTTTTTCTAGTCATTAGAACCTTTCGGGGTTATCATAACACCACCTCTTCCTCTGATCATTTTTGAAATTAATAATTCTAGAAATGTTTGCGAATTGAGACAATAGGAAAAAATATTGATTGAGATGATGAGTATTTTATAATAAAACTAATATTCAACAATACACGGAGAGAAAATTCTCGTAAAAATTACGTGACTTTCACGTAATCGTGGGGCGAAATGTAATACTGGCAAAAACTATTCTTTCGATGGTAAATTTTCGGAGGTAGTCCATTAAAAATGAATGGGAAATCAAGGGAAATTTCGAAACTTTCCAGATTTTTTACATGCGGGTTCAGCTAAAAATTACATTTCAAACCATAAAAATTCCTGAACACGCATTGTGCCCCACGATTACGCGAAAGTAACGTAATTTTTACGAAGGTTTTCTTTCCCTGTAAAATGAAAATTCGTCAGAAACTGATATATCGGAAATCCTCTCAAATCTTGAATGGTATCGATAATGATCAACCTTAGTATCGACAATTATCAACCTCTGATTCTCAATGATTAAGTTTTTATGCTCAAATAAATAATAAATACATACACTTTATATAGTTTCGAACTGGATATTGCTAGGAGTTCGTTGCAGGTGATATATATTTATAGCTTATAGTATTTAAATTTCATAGTTTATATGCATAGTTGTTCTATGAATAAAACAGATTTTTGATGTTTCGATATTTTGTCATTTCTTCTGTGAGTAATATACTGCACCTTCGCTTATTTTGAAATCAAATATGATGATAGAAGTGAAAAAAACCAAAATCCAATCCTTCAGAAAATCTCGCGCAATGAAATGTAGAACGGTGAGGTTTAAAAAAATAATTGCATTTCATATGGATAGTTTTAATTGGGGGGACTTGATTAGGAAAGTCGACATGAGCATAAATTTTTGTTGGAGAAAAAAAAAACAACGGATTTTTCAAAACGATACAGTTGTGTTCATTTGAATGAAGCGCTCGGATTCACGGCGTTACAGCGTTGCCGCATAATTCTAATACGTTTTCTCCCCACTCCTCCACTGCCCCGCGCCCGCCAGCTCCCCGTATTCGCCCAACACTTTCGTTGAAAATCATGAGATTTCAATCATTTTTCCTGGGCGTTTGCAACCACATATTCGTCTGCCGATTTGCATAAAGTTTGTTAATGAATGAATTTACTTATAAAAAAAAAGGCAACCTTTATACTATGACTTGGAAATAATATTCATTTAATTAATCAATTTTGCGTCTGCCCACATGTTGGACATGATTGACACGTCTGCCAAAATGATTTACAGCATTTAGGAGTATCGATCTTCAATATTAACAAAAAATTAAGTTTTATAGTATCACTTAAAAATCCAATGTTGACACCACCCTTAATCGCTTCGCATCCCGTCATTGCAAGGGGTGCGGAGTGGCAGCCATGACAAAACGTGAAAAAGGCTTACTTACCAAGTTATCAATAATAATTCTATTTTTTATAAAATCACTTAGGGAAAAACGTCACTGGCTCTCCGTCTATTAGATTTCCTTCCTTGTTATTCTCTTTTAATAGGTGATGCGCATGCGCGTCATGCGTTATTTCGGGTTTCAGTTGAGTGTGGGTAGGCGCTTTAAACCCGCTACTTTCCAGTTGACTATAGTCAACTGAAACCCATGCGGTTACACGCACGTATCATATAAATTTTTTTGTTCAGCGATTGGTTTTCTGCAGGAAAACAATAGAAACTCCTCCGCCTCACCTCCTACATTTCCTCCTCGCCCGATTATCCTTAATTGTTAAATCCAAATTTCTTTGGGAATACCAACCGCATGGAATTTATTTCGTTAGAATCGTTGAAACCCTACGCTTCTTTAAAAAATTAAATATTATCATTTTTGGGAAGAAATAATTACTTATCGAAAGAAATTGGCAATCGGATACTCGGCGATTAAGCTATTGGGACTGAATCAGGTACCGGGACATTTACCTTAAGGCATCAATAAAAAGCATTGCACTCATGAGCATGGTCTAATTTCTCATTTAGAACATTGATTTTTCTTTTATTATGTGACTTAGCATTTTATCCGTGGCTTAACCTCCCTCTGTGCTGTTTAGCTTTCCTCACTTCGCCAGCTCCAAAGAGCTCAAATGTTATATTTACTTTGATGTACGTAAGGTATTCGTTATGCTGAAGAGATTCATTATTTCTTGATCGTTCAATTCAGCAGCCAACTAGTGGTACATATTGGGGACAATATGAGAATTGAATATTAAGAAACTTTCGCTTGAAGCCGATCAATTTTCCTGTTCAAATATTATCCTCTTAATTCCTCCTAAATTAATCATTAACAAAATAACTCATTCGCCAATGGAGGTTATAAACAAGCAGGGGGCAGCGAGCATGTAGCGACGTAAGGAAACATTCGCGATCGCAACGTAGATGTGGAAGCCATCAAGTGAACTCTCCACTAACTACTCTTGGCGGGCAACCAATGAGATCACTGGATTCTCTTTGATCTCATTTGTTGAGCTCCATCATTGGTTCCCTCCGAGGGATCTCATTGGTTGCCCCCCAAGAGTAGTTAGTTTAGAGACCACTTGATGGCTCCCACATCTACGTTGCGATCGCGAATTGTCAAACGGAAAAATTGTCAAATGAGAATGCGAAGGGAGCGCCATCCGATAGTGAGGCCACGGAGTATGGTTTTTGGGGTAAAGAAGAGTTTTCAAGTTAGAATTCTTCTGTTCAATGTGGTTATATCCTCTCACTCTAGAAGAGGCAAGCACCTCAAGTTAGAATTGTATAGATTATTTTTCCAACCCAAATATCTGGCAATATAATTGGCCCATTCGACATCACGTGGTACAAGCTACAGGATTTTCAACTGATAATTTTTTGATAATTTTCTCTGGTAGTTGCTATATAAAAAACAAAATATCATGCAGTCGAATTAACCCCTCGTCAAACTGACAGATTGAATTCAATTGTATCGTTGTGTTAATTTTACAGTTTTCGTTTCACAATTGTGAGTTTCGTCGCATGATCCAATTATATTGCCCGACATTTGGATTGGAAAAATAATCCCCCGAATACCACACGAGCTTCAAAATTAATCGGGCATTTTCCTCAAGGTTCCCTGCATACAAACGAAGTCGTCAAGTTTTTCAGGAAAAATCACTCGTGCTTCGCACTCGTGATTTTTTAACCTGAAAAACTTGACTCCTTCGTTTGTTTGCAACGAACCTATCAAAAAATACCCGATAATTTTGAAGCTGTTGTGGTATTACAAGTGATAAATTCGAAATAATATTTAGTTTAAGATAATCAATTAGGGAGATATCTCAAGCACATTGAATTATACGATATCATAGGGGTAAAATGGGTCTTTTCTGTACTCCTACGATTACATGGGGGCAAAATGGGTTTTTCGTGTACTCCTACGATTTCATGGGGGTAAAATGGGTATTTACTGACCACATACGATTTCATTGGGGCAAAATGGGTTTTTCTAGTACTCACACGATTTAATTGGGGCAAAATGGGTTTTTCGTGAACTCATACGGTTTCTTAGGGGCTAAATGGGTATTTTCTGACCTCATACGATTTCATGGGGGTAAAATGGATTGCGCATAGAATTTATATAGGATTTTCGCATATGATATTCGGATATTTTGATACGGATATTTTGAATACACATTATTTCTATACGATTTCTATAGGTTCGATCCTATACGACACACTGCCGCATGTATAGTATATAAACATTTCATATGGAGATGCACCATTTCTCTACGTTTTTCTCTAGAGCGTTTACATATCTTTCGTACGAAAACAAAAAATTACATCAAAATTTATGTATAGAAATAAATCGTATGGAAAATATTCCTATACAAATATTCGATCATCATGTACGTAAATTCTATAGGGTTTTATACGCAATCCGTAAAGAAAATTTTTATAAGATTAATAAGTTACTTTTTCAAAAAATTTCCAAAATGTTCAGAAGTTCTCCGTAAAAAGTTTTGAAGAAATTGTATCCGAAAGATAGGTTGAGATGTCTGAAAATCATCTGAAAAGTTGAAATTTGCAATTCCCTCAGGAAATGTTACACAACCTTTTGCCTGTAATTTGTGAAGCATTTACAAAATATGTGCAAATGGTTCCAATAAAGGTACCTCCAAGTTATGCTGAAATAGCTCAGAATAAATTGAAACGTAAATATTTGCTATTCCCTCCGGTGATTTTTTATGCGAGGTATTAGTTCCTATTTTTAGGAAATAGAAAGAAATGATTCCACCGAAAAGCGTGGAAATATGGAGGAACATTTCCGTAGAATCGCCAAAATAACCACACCATTCCCTGACGGTCCTCTAATGCCGTACGTTTTTCTATTAAAATTATTCATATAATAATAACAGAAGATAATAATTTCGATAATAATTGTCGACTTGGAAAAGAATGAATAATTAATACACAGAAGCATTGTGACCTAGACGAAAATTACGAAAAAGATTCATAATGATATTATTAAAAGGAAAATATAAAAGACTTACCTGTATGGTAGGATATGTCCCCTAAATCCATTATTTCCTCAATGAATGACAGTTGCAACGGATCAGTATACAGTACAGGGATAAAGTTATCACATCTCTATACGGTGTAGTTTTGAAGATAGCCGTGGTCCAAATCGTGATGGTATGCATGTGATATGAGTATGTAGTGATGAGTTTTATTACGTTTTATTAACTTTTATCAAGTTCACAGAATACCCATCTTGTCGCTATGGAATCGTAGAAGTACACAAAACACCCATTTTGCCCCCATAAAATCGTACGAGTACAGGAAAGACCCATTTTACCCCTACGAAATCGAATGAGGTCAGCAAATACCCATTTTGTTCCAATGAAATCATATGAGTTCACGAAGAACCCATTTTGTCCCAATGAAATCGTAAAAGT